TGATAGAAATACGCTTCCGTAACTGGTCTAACCTTTAGACAAGCACTTATAAACACGATGACTGKAGACGTGCTGAAAATCTCAACCACAGAGAGGACCATCTCAAGTTTTCTAAATTAACTGATCTTTGTGTTTATTTTTACAATTTAGAGTATGTGCTAAAATACATAACTTGATGGAAATCTATGTATTTTAGCACATACTCTAAATCGTAGTGTTTCTGCCTCATTATGCACGTAAGGTGAGCTGCTCTTCAACTATTGGTCAATAGACAGAAAAGAAGTAGGATTCATGTTCAGTTTTGTTTAAACTTCACTGAGCCAGCACGCCCGCTCCTATCTGTTGACCAAAAGTAGAAGAATGTCCAACTTTATTTGCATGTACACATTTCTAAGTATAATTTAAAATGTGCTAAAATAACTATGAAAATCAATTGAATTATAAAACATGAGGMAAAGTTCTGCTTTGTTTTCTAATTGGGGTAATAAATTTGTTCAAAGTATCAAATTTTTAGCCCTGTTTTTTGCGTGGGGGTGGAGCGGAATCATGATTGACAGCTCAACTGACTCAGGAGCCACCCGCTTCAAATTGAATGTTGTCAGACTATTAAATGGTCATTATTAGAGGTMATCAGTCCCTCCTCTACCTCCTAGTAGGTTGGAAATCACTTATCAATCATTTGTAAATCTGACAACATGCATTCAGGCTTAGTGGGTTTYGCTCCTCCTCCGGGACGCAGAGTTCAAGCAGTCCGCCCAGCTCGCTTTGACCGGGGGGAGGCACTTGATCTAGGWTGTAGCTGATGGACKCCCCASACATTGCTAACAGACAGCAGTGTTTTGCGGGTCTGCTCAGATATGATTCAAACTTTAATCAAATGATCTCTGGAGTAGTTTTTGAGATATAAGCCAGAGAAGGCAAAGGGGTAATTTGGCTGCAGAACAAACATTCTGCACCTGTCTAGTTGGGCTGACCGCTTGAGCTTTGCGTACCTAGAGATGGGACTGATAACATTTAAATCAGGTGGTTTATGTTGAGCTTTCAATCATGATTCCACACCAAAAGTTTAAAACTTTTRCGGTTTCAAAAACATTGGACCCAATTTTAGCTCCTAACTAATAGGTTAGAGCTAAACAACTGAATTTCCTCTCTAGTGAATAGTAACTTTGTGTAGAAACTTATTTTATGGCTATGGTGACTTGACATTTGCACAGTCTCCGAATACACCACCCAAATTCATCTGCAGTGATTATGTTTAATAAAACTAACATTGAGCAGCCCCAACTATGTCAGAACATTGAAAGCATAAAAAACAGCAAAAGCATTAAATAAGCACCACTGCAGTGTTCTATTCAGACTWAAGAAATAAAATCGTGTTCCCTTTATGCACAGTTGCCAAATTTGACCTAAACTTTCTCCCTCTCACACAGCTTCATCAACTAAGACAACATARGTCAGCTACAGTAATCATGCCATCTGAAGGGACGACAGAGGACGGTGCCATGGAGGCAAGGCCAAGTGAGAACAAGAAGTCATTCACTGTTGAAGAACTCATAAATCGACAGAACGCCCAATGGAATCCAAGCATGAGACATTTTGTATTGTTACCCATCAAATCACAGAGGTGGGACCACATAAACAGCCAGTCAGTGTGCCTGCTTTGCTGCTACTCACAGCTCATTGGTCCTGCCATGAACTTAGCTGTTTAAAACAAAAGAAAAACATGACAATGAACAGAGAAACTCTTAAAAAATTACTTGTGTAAACTATATAAAAAGGGCAAAGGTGGGGTTGGTAAAGAGAWTTTATCAAATTACATTTAAAAAGAGAAATCTATGAGAATCAAATCTGTTTGTTGTTGTTCTCTACTTGTAAGTATTTTTGTGGTCGTGATGATTTTTTCATTCCTGTCTCACTGTTGTCTTATGGATCGCCCTTGCATAATGAGATGAGTGTGTTTCCTCCTGCTGTCTTGGCGAACTGGGTTGTGAACCTGTAAAATGCCATGGTTGAAGCATGCCAGTTTTTATACAAAAATGAGATTTATTTATAATAAAGGAATGTTTTGCAAATGGGTAGATTTGTTGTCATGCTTCTGAAATATGATGATCCCCTACTTAGGAACTTGAGGAATAAATCTACAACACAAGAAAACGATCAGTTTGCTTCATTTTAATTCTAATTGTACTGACAAAAATGCAAAGTTGCATTACAGCTATTTAAGAAGTTATGTTCCAACACATTTCCATACTGATGGTTATATGATCGTTGGAGTAAAGAAAAACTGAATAATAGATGTATCCCCAAAACCCATCAGGATTGGGACAGGCAGATGACTACACCACAAATGTCTTGACTAAGAAGGACAACTTGTATTTTGTGGCACTATTATTGTGCCACCAGCATTAACATGAACAAACAATAATTTGAAGTATGTGTTCAAATCCCACATGCTCCCCAAGTTGTATGTAAATGAATCACGTCACAAGCCAATCAGACAGGTGTTGTTCATGTAAATAAAATACTGAACCAAGAGGCGGAAGTGACAAAACCTTGGGTGCAATTTCCAGATGCCTGAAGGTGCCTCGTTCATCTGTACAATTATACACAAGTACWAACAAGATGGGAATGTCCAGCCATGAWYTCGCTCAGGAAGGAGACAGGTTCTGTGTCCCAGACAAGAATGTGCATATCAACCCAAGAACAAACGCAAAAGAGCTGGTGAAGACGCTGGCTGAAGCTGGTAAGAGAGTTTTGTATCCACATGGGCTGAAAGGCCACAGGAAGAAGCCATTACTTCAAAAGAATAAGATTATTTTCAAGTACACACAGGGACAAAGACCTTCATTTCTGGAGACGTCCTGTGGTCTATTGAAGCTAAATTAGAACTGTTTGGCCATTGTTCTGTTTGAAGAAAAAAAAGCCTGAGAACACCATCCTGACTGTGAAACACAGGGGTGGCAGCATTATGATGTGGGGTTGTTTTGCTGCAAGAGAGACTGGAGCACTTCACAAAAGAGATGGCATCATGAGGAAAGAGCATTATTTGGAAATACTGAGGCAACATCTGAGCAGCCAGGAAGTTAAAACTGGGGCCCAATAGACAACGACCTGAAGCGTACTGCCAAACTGGTTACAAAGTAGTTCAGGGATAAAGTCAATGTTTTGGTGTGACCATCGCAAAGCCCTGATCTCAGTTCTATCCAAAATTTYTGGACAAAACTGAAAAGGCATGMGCGAGCAAGGCAGCCTACAAACATGGCTCAGTTCCACCAGTTCTGTCAGGAGGAATGGGCCAAAATTCCTGCCAACTATTTCCTTAAAAAGAAAGCCTTTTATGGATTCAACATACAACTTATTTCACTTACAAGCAATACTCCTACATTTTAACTTTTATGTGACTTAAATATATTTTTCCCAGCAGGGAACAAAGACCATAATCTTTTTTTCTGGGAGCAATGCCTCACTACACTCTATTGTAGAAATAGCTCAATAACAACAACAACCTGAGCAACTCATGAAGTATCAACATAGACAAACGTATGTGGCTTTTCACACAAATCATAAAATTATTCATCTCAGATACAGTTTATTCTAGTTTTTTTCCTACAAAGAAAAGCCAGGACCATGTGTGCTGCACTATAAGACAACCTCGAGAAAAAAGAACATTAAATAACTGTTTTTATTCCTAAGGTTTTACTCAAACTATTTTTCAAAATGGATATGATTTCTGGGGTTACAATAAAATATGTATATCACATGGTTTGGTGAAAATACCAAAGAATAATAGTATAACCTCTCATATGGTTTACCACTTTTTGCATCTCAACAGACACTTCACCACCACTGTTCCCTGTAATATACAGCACTGTGTACACAAATTACACTCAATCACTAATAAGAGCTTCGAGTACCAAGCCTGATTGTTCACAATAGTAGAATCACAGACCTGCAAGCAAAAAGCTGCCTGAATTTCAAATACTTATCTTTACCTCATTTGCTCATGACATATAAATACATGGAACATGCACAATAAGTCATATTGAATACAAATAACTATACTATATAATATACTTAAATTTATTCATGTAAGCAAGTAAAATGACTGCCAAGCTGTAATAAAATCAGCGTTGTTTATAACTTAAAGTTGAGAGGAGAATAAGAAAAGGAAGCTGAACTGGCATCTGGATTGAATGTTTGGAACTAACTCACAGAATGATGCTTAAAGCACATTTTTAGTTCAGTCAAAACTTAAACAAATCAGACAAATATTTGCTCTCTTACAAAAAAAACTAATTAAGTTATTTTTACCCTTTAAGGTAAAATTAATAAAAACATTCTACATGAGTACATAATATTTTTAGTTTACTAATTAGTTTAGAGTTCCTGATCTCAGACTAGTTGTTTGGCTGATGAAACAGTGGGAATTTAAGGAAAATGCTCTGGGAAAAAAATTACACACTCACCTCCAAAAGGTTCAAGTATGTAAATTGTTTGTAAATGGAGAGTTGATTTTCTAATGCCGCAGGGGTGATCAACTCACTGAATGCTGCTGCCATGGCAGTCAGACTGGATGTCAGAGTCAGTTAATGATTCCTGATTAGGCTTGTATTTATCATGCATCATGGATTAGGAAGTCTGATAACACAGGACCAAAATACTTCATAGGTAGCTCAAAACTTGTTCATTAAATTACTGCTTACAGTTTTTGAAAGTTGCGGTAGTCTTTATGTTTGACTGATGTCATCAAATTCTCAGTGGGAAAAAAACACACACACATARGTTTGTTCTTCTGTCCTCATGGGGACTTTGCATTGACTTCCAATAATCTACCAGTCATTTCTATAGCCTAACCCACAGGTACACAACTGAACCTAACCTAAACTCAATTCACTTCTTGGTCCTAAACCGAACCCCTGACGCACCAACAATATTTCCACTGATGGGGAGTGGACCTGACTTTTGGCCCCATAAGGAACATTGGGTCCTCACCAGGCTGTGCGTACCAGGGAAATGGTCAAAAATAGTTTCTTAACAGGTAGCAAAAACATGTACACACACAACTTGCATCAAACTGAGGACATTGTATTACTTCCATTTTTGTAACTGTATTGAAAAGGTTTTTATAAGGTTTTATATGTTTTATAGATGTCTTTATGTTCCAAATAAAGTTAGATTCAGTACGGGACTCTCGTCTCAGATTTAATGG